CCAAAAGACTCCACCCCAAAACCGCTAGAATTCATACAGGAATTCAGTAAAGTGGCAGGATATAAAATCAGTGCACAGAAATCAGTGGCATTCCTATGCACCAACAACAAGACAGAAGAAAGAGAAATTAAGGAGTCGATCCCATTTATGATTGCGCCCAAAACCATAAGATACCGAGGAATAAATCTAACCAAAGAGGTAAAGCATCTGTAATCAGAGAACTATAAAAGTGATACTTTTTAAAAGACCATCGGGAGTTAGTACAGAACATACATTAATACCAGTTAAAAACTGCGGGGACAAAGGGCCAGTACAAGTCAAAAATGCCTTCGACTAAGCGCAGGACCGGCCGAGAGGTTGCTGCCGATGCTCCCCTCCCAGGAAATGGGATCTGTAGGGCTTCCAACCCCAGTGCCTCACTTTGTAGGGGCGGCCCTACAGTCAGCACCCAGGGACATTCCTGTCTGAGGCCCCTGTCAGCGACTAGTGTCCTTGCCTTCCAGGGAGGCCCGTGGCCCCGGACCTGGGGCTCCGGGCTCTGGATCAGACTAGCTGGTGCTAATTCAGCCTCTACAGCTCTCGAGCTACGTGACCTCATCCGGGATTTAGTTTCCAACCTGTATAGTCAGGACAATAATGCAGAACACAACACCCTTTGCAACCTCCTCCACTTGCGCCTGGTCCGAGTGATTCCATTCTGGATCCTGCACGCTTGTCCCCACACAACCAATATTGCAGACTGAAAGCCACATCATTCCACTCCCTCGACCCACTGCTTCCCCAGGCCCTTACAATGAAGGTGCAGGCCCTCCGTGATCGGGCCCTGCCCGCTCCCACTACATCTCACACCATTCTCTCCCCGCGCTCCTCACTGCAGCCACTCCACAGTTCCTTGGGTCCCCAGGCATGCTCCTGCCCCAGGACCTTGGCATGCGACCCCACATGGAACCATGTTTCCCCAGAAGGAGCCAGCATTGTGTGGTAGAAAGGGGAAAGCCCTGACCCTGCTGCATTGAATCTTGACTCGGCCACTTGCTAGCTGTGTGACCTAAGCAAATTACTTTTTCTATCTTTTGGTTTCATCATAGGCAAAATTGTCATAAAATAGTATCACTGGGGCGCCCTCGTGGCCCAATCAGTTGGACGTTGGATTCTTGGTTTCGGCTCAGGTCATGATCTTGGGGCTGTGGGATCGAGCCCCACGTGGGGCTCCATGCTCAGTGCAGAGTCTGCTTGGGATTCTCTCTCCCTCTGCCCCTGCCTCCCCCCTTTAAAATAAATAAATAAATCTTTAAAAATGTATAATATCACTAACATAGTGTTGTCATGAAAATTCAGACTATGTGTATAAATTCCTTAGAATGCTTGGCAAATCGTTAGCACTGAGTGTGATGTAGAGATATAATTTAAACATATTTGTAAGTATACTTAGTGTAAAATATATACATATTTTCCTCCCCTGTTCCTTTGGGTCTTTGCTCAAACTTCAGAGAAGCATTCACTGACTTCCCCATATAATACTCAAAGTCTCCTATCCCTTTTACTTGCTTTCGCTCACAGCATTCCTAACATCTCCCACATTAAATACTTATTTCCTTGCTGTCTGTACAAAAGCTCCATGGAAACAAAGATAGTGTCTATCTATTTTGTTCACTTCTGTACTCAGCTCCGAGAACAGGGCTCTTGCCATGGAAGGAGCTCATTACATACTGACTTGGTATATATCAACTGACTTGGTGAAGGAATAAAAATACCTCCTTGGAGCACATGAAGAACCAGTGGGATGACATGTTAAGTGCTCAGTATGGTACCTGGCGCACACAGGGCACCGTTAGCTATTTTTCGATGGCTTTCAATAAACACGAACTCTTTTTTCATTACCATTGTACCTTGCAAGGGTTCAAGGGGCAAGTTAAGCCATATGATGCTTCCATATACTAAAAGGAGGAAGTGGGAGGCTCTTTCGGTGACGACGTCAACTTTAGCAGGAGCCTCCGAAGGCAGGCATAGGAAGGACTCGACAGGACACACCTACGCCTTAGGAAGGAATCGTGTGGGTGAGTTAGAGGAGGAAGAAACCAAAGACGATCTGTCAGGCGACACTGGGAAAGTCCTGACCCACATGAAGTTTACATTCTAGATAGAAAGCTTTCACAGGCTTTTTAGTTTTTCAGTAGTCCTCGGAACTCTGAGACTTAGGAGGGATACATATTATCCCCATTTTCCGAGGAACCTGAGTCCAGACTGGTGCAGTCAGAGGGGAGCAACAGTGAGGGCTGGACCAAGAGCCCACACCTTCCCCTTTACCCCGGGGTCTTCCCACTTGGCTACGTGACCTCATCACCACGCTCACAGTATTTTGTAATTTGGATAATTTGAACAAAGTAAATTCATTTATCAGTAATCATGTGCAACTATTTCCTCCACCTATTTTATAATAAATGTCTTACGTTTTTGAAACAGTGACTTTCAAGATACAGCAATGGGACATACGCAGACAAGATTTCCTTGAATCTGCTCCTGGCTTGGGAATGTTTGTGACTGTTAGAACTTACAATGATGAGGTAAAATATTCTTTTATGTTTTGTTACTAAAATTTTTAATTTGCTAAAATTCATATATCATGTATCCCCTCAAACTTTAAGAAAAACCTCCGCATAAGCACTCATTAACCAGAACTGACAATTTTTAATGTGTCTAGTCCTGAATAAAGGGACTACACAGAGACGTGGAAAGTGCCTGCCTTCAATGAGCCTATTGTCTAGCTCAAGAGCAGAGACCTTAACATAAAATATTTCAGAACAATGTAAATGATGGGCTTCATGCTCATCATCCTGAGATTCGCTGGTCTTGCTGGACCACAGTCTCCCCCCTCCTCCGTGGCAGCCCCTCAGTCTGTTGGGTCTCCCTGGCCTCTTCCTCATTAGGGGGTTAGCAGGAGTAGAAGAGGTACCAGGATCCAGTGGAGAGAATGTGAATGTTGGAGTCAGAGCCAAGTTAAAGTGTAGACTGTCAAGCTCAATCTTCAGCAGGTTGTTGACTGCTCCAGTCCTCAGTTTTCTCATCTGTACTGTGGGTGTTAACAGTGACCTCCGTTCCCCACCGTGCCAGCTCAAGATCCTGACTTGCTCAGTCCAATCACTCAAACACAGTTGTGAGAACGACTTCCCTTTGGACTTAGAGCTGCCCTGGGGATGTGCCCATGGGACAGCAAGGATGGGTAGCAAAACCTCATAGACCAGAACAGGCATCTCCTCTGGGGAGGAGAGGATACAAAGTTCCTGTTCTCGTTAAACTGGATGATTGCCTGATCCGAGCTCAGGAGACATTCTGACACCTCCACTCCTGTGGAGACTGGGAGTGGGGTCACTGGAGAGACTCCACTCCAGCTGGATGGATGGGACCCTTGAGCCTGGCTGCTATGGCACCTTCTCCTGGTGCACCTAGCACCTGCCTGATGGTGGTTCTGCTGGGCCTGTCCGTGTAGCTACCTCCCCTCCCTACAGCCTGCCTCTCAGGCTTTTTGCCTGGTTATACAAAAACCTAATTCTCCTCTGTTCTTTCATGAGCAATCTGGAAATGTCTCCATGGCTTATTAAATGCTGAATCCAAATTTTAGTTGAGCTCAAAACCGTCACAGAACATCCCAGTCACTATTTTTAAGACAGAGAAGGTTCATTCTTCAAAAATATAATTGCCTGATCTAATACCCCCTTCTACAAGGGAGGAAAAATATTTTAATTTATTCTGCATTCAACAAATATTAAACGTGAGCCTAATATATACCCTACCCTCTTCCTGACCTAAGAGAGACAAAATTCTCACCCCATAGGGCTGATTTTCAAGAAAGCTCTCCCCACTTTGAAGAATAAGAGACAGCCCTAGTTTCAAAATGTCTTACGAGATCCTCCTTTAAGGTCCTTATCAGCACCTCCACAGGGCCTCTGTTTTTACTTGGGTCAGTGTGTCTGGGGGCCTGGGGTACTCTAAGTTGCCCACCTTGATCATATGTCCATTCCTATGGCATGTGATTGACAGCCCCAGGGAAAGACATGGCTGGTGGGGTAGGCAGGGCAGTCAGTAACAGCATGTACGTACCATACAAACACATGCATTTTGTATTCCATTATTTCCCTAATGATTAGTGATGGTGAGCATCTTTTCCTGTGTTTTTTTGGCCTTTTTTCTTTTAGCCCTTTGAGTGTACCAACCCACTGCCTTCTGGTCTCCAAAGTTTCTGATCAGAAGTCTGCTGTGATTCTTTTTTTTTTTTTTTTTTTTTTTTAAGGAGGCTCCATGCCCAGCATGGAGCCCAATGCAGGGCTTGATCTCATGACGATGAGATCAAGACCTGCACTGAGATCAAGAGTCAGATGCTTAACCGACTGAGCCACCCAGGCACCCCGAAATCTGCTAATATTCTTATTGAGGATCCCTTGTGTGTGACCATTATGAAGGTCCTCCATATTTGGAGGACACAGTCCTTTTTGCCCACCCGCCAGGTTGTCCAGCAACTCACGCACATCGGCCTGCCACCTGGCTGGGGGTGGGGACGAGGTTGGGTAGCTGCTCCCGTGCTCGGAGCTGACACCGAACAAAGTTAACCACAATTTACCACACGAGGCTTCCCCTGGAAATTGCAAGCCTTCAATAGACTCCATAGTTCCAAAATAGCTACATCAGACGGATTCTAACAGTGTAATTGTGGTCTGGATGGGAAGACAGACTCCTGGTGCTGCCTACCTCACCATCTTCCCAGAATCCCCTCGTAGTTCAAAATGTTTTTAAATCTCTTAGGATTTCTTCCTCAAACCATGTGTTATTTAGAAATGTGCTTAATCTCGACATATTTTGGGATCTTTGTTATTGATTTCTACTTTAACTCCATTGTGTTCTGAGAGCAGACTTTGTGTGGTTTCTGTTACCGTTATTATTTTTTGAAATACAGTTGATGGGTTTCTACTATTTTAAATGTGTTAAGGTGTGCTTGGTGGCCAGAACGGGGTCTGTCTTGGTGAGTGCGCCAGGTGAGCTTGAGAAACGTGCGTGTTCGGCTGTTGCTGGATGAAGCGGGCTGTACTCAAACACCATGTGCAGGTGACTGACGGTGCTGCTGAGTCCAGCGATGTCCTTCCTGACCTGCTGCTGGACCTGCCCGCTCCTGACAGAGGGGTGTCGGAGACCCCAGCTTCAACAGCAGACTCTCCTCCTCCTGCAGTCCTGTCAGTTTTTGCCTCATATATTTTGCTTGGTTGTTAGGTGCTTACCCATTAAGGATTGTTTTGTCTTCTTGGATAATTGTCCTCTTCGTCTTTATGTAATGCCCCATTATGTGATTATCCCTGATAATCTTCCTTGATCTGAAGTCTACTGTGTCTGACGTTAATATGAGCATTCCGGCTTTTTTTGTAAGGTTAAAGTTAGCATCTATATCTTTTTCCATCCCTTAACTTTTAATCTACATGTGTCTTTCTATTTCAAGTGGGCTTCTTGTAGACAACAGAGTTTTGTTTTTTGATCCACTCTGTGTGTATTCTTCAGAATCTTCTTCTAAACTTATAGAAACACACACACACACCTGTACCTTGACAAATGATTTTTTTAATAAGAAATAGGGCCCTATACACACTACTGTAGTGTAGGATATTGGGGACACCTTTAGTACAGGACACATATGGGTACAATAGTCTCTTCTTTGCCCCATAACATTCCTTTATTTGGATTTGCCTAAATTTAGTCAATCCCCTACTAAAAGGTACTAAAGTAATTTCAAGAATGCAACTTTGCCATTACAAAAAACACCACACTGAATATCACTTTACATATAATTTTGTCTACTTGTGCATTTCCATAGAATAAGTTCCTGTAGGTAGAATCACTGAGTCAATGGTCACATACAGTTTAATTTTTAATACATATTGCTGAACTGCTTTCCAAATGGTTGTTCAACTTACATTTCCAAATCAGTGTTTAGAAATAGTATTTCTCAATACTATCCCTGGACACTTTTATTTAAATCTTTGCCAATCTGATAGTAAATAAGGGCTATCTTACTCTGGGTGTGTGTGTGCGTGCGCACGTGCATGTTGTTTTTACCAACAAGGATAAATATTTTTCATTTTTATTGACCATTTCTTCTTTAGGAACTGCACAGTTCTTACTAAACTAACAGGGGAGATCTATTTTTAAGAAGGGAAAGTAGAGAATAATAAACTTAAACTATGGAAATCCTTAATCCTAGGTATTATTGTCCAAGTTATATGGCCCACAAGGAAGGTTCTATTTTACTTCACATTCACCTGGCGAACACATCATTTGCTTGGAATCTAATTCTACGAGGCTTGTGTCGTTTGGTGGGAGTAAGCTGGTGAGTAGATGCCTCCCATGTCCTTGTTGATGAACAGAGCATCAGGATGCCTCCCATGTCCTT